TTACACATTTGTGTATACGTATGTATTAAACACTAGTATGTTGCTTTGCTGCTTTCAACATGCAACAAGTGCAAATAAATTATCGAGACGTGCAGGTAAGGAGTAAAGTATTTTGTTGTAAGACAAATTATTTTATAATGAAGTCGATTTCATTGCTGGTGGTGATTTGTTTAAGTAGCTGCAAATTTCAAGAATTTGTTGCGGCCGAGTATTTGGTGATAGGATTTTGTGATAATAGAATTATTTAAATTTAAGAGCTACCAAGAAATTTGCACGTTAGGTATGAATGATGGATTAAGAGCAGAAAATTAATGGCAGCAAGAGCAGCCAGCTGAAGTATTTCGGCTTGAAGTCCTTTGGAAAAAGCCGTTTATCTGGAACAATATTTAACATTTCAACTGCAAGACAGAACTTGAAGTATCCGAGGCATAAATTTGCCTACAACTATGAACAAATTTTGCTTTCAGATTATGAGCCTCCAGCTTTATTTTATAAATATTGTTTTCCTCGTTCATTTTGACATACTTGCAATAAGCAAAAATTAATCAGTCTTCCAATTCTGTTGCAAACCAATCGACCGATATGAAGTTTTGGTTGGATGCTTGTAGCTGTAGTGGTTGTAAATAAAGTTTATTCCGCATTAGACATTCAGAAATGAAGAGGGAATCGGGAATGTCTCATGGTTTACCAATCAAAAGTGGAATCTTTCTTTTTTATTTATTTTAACATTAAGGTTACTATAATTTGAGAAGTTTAATAGGTCACCATAATTGTTTTGTGATCCTCCAAGTGCATGCCCCATTCAACCAGTTTGGAGTGAAATAGTTTTTGTATGATATTTAGCACTAAGAAAATTTATAATCAATTTAAATACGAGAAAAGCGCATAGAAAGCACAACAGTCGATAGAGTTCACAAATGGTTCTAAGGCAACCAAATTCAAGTACAGGACTGACAATCGTTAAGTTTGTAGCTATTTTAGTTAGAGTGGCAGTCAAGGAAAAAATATATTCATCAGCATAGATTTCAATATCTTCAGAACAGCAAATAGACCTGACTACCAACCACAAGTTCTTACTTCGGACGTGGTAGGTGTCTTGTGCATAGACGAAAATGTATCTTCTCAACTTTCCGCGTCTAGTTGCTCCAAGTTCTGTTATCGCCTTTTTGATACTGCCATCACCCCTGTTAGGGGATAATAAAGATTAATTCATCCGTTTACTCTAATGAGTTCTTCATAGATTTTAATTGCAATTAAATAATACACTTTTCTTTACCTTGGTTTGAAAGGAAACGTAGAAAAAAACCGGAATCATAAGTTAATGGGTATTCGAAAAAAGTTCATTTGTTTTCCACACGTACGCTGCCACCAACACACGTGAAGTAGCACCTGCTGAAACGCATGCAGGAAATTTACATTTACATTTTTTCTTACTCCAAATTTCTATTTTTACTCTCCTTGCAAGTAAGTTGTGAAAATAAAATATCTTACAGTCAACTGGAGCAGGCAAAGTGGTGCTCATGTCGTACAAGTTTATATGCATACCAAGGTATGTTTATTTGAATGCAACACCAGAAGTAGCGCGTGGCAGACATGGCGTATGAGTAATAATGAATTTTTATCGCAATCAAAACGTGTGCAAAAAGGTATCTAAATATACTCACACATTCATATATATTTATATGTATAACGGTATGAAAGTTTTAAGTGAAAGTGTGCTGTCTAGGCAGAAAATAATAAAAATATATATGAGAAATATACACACAAATATATAAGCACATTTATTTGTTGTTGTTTATTTCTTCTTAAAGTCTCTCTCTCAATTTGCATGCCTTTGTGCTTTACACCTGTTTTTTTATATATATTCTTTTTTTGATTTTCCACTTTTAATTTGATTTTTCTGCGCGTTTCAAGTAATCAACGCTTGTTGAGTGAATGTGTGAAGTAGAAAATACTCGACACAAAGCATTTGAGTGCACTTACAACAAAGACATTTCTCGATACGCTCACTTGTACAAATATACATTTTATATATATAGATATAAATATTGTATTGTTTTGCCAAAGAAATGTGTCACACCGTCAAGGCGTGCCTAAAAGCAGACTTCAATTTTAAGACTTTACTACTTTCGAGACTTCTTAGAGTTATCTAGGCTGTGACCTGTTTCTTCACCTGCGCCAGCAATGCTTACAGTGATCTCATTGAAGTAGCTTGTTGTACATTTCAATTTTATAAAATTACTTCACGCGCTTGTAAATGTAAATTTTTCTATTTCACTTCTTTCCATCAGGTGTCTTCTCAGCGCCTTTTATGTCGGCATCGAGGAGACTTACACCGGTTTTCATTACTTTCAAGTGTTCACACATATTTTCTTTCGTTCGCTATCGTCATTCCCTAACCTACCACAACCACTCATATCCCCATATCCTTATTGGCCTATTGAGTGTATCCTCTTGCGTTGATATTTGAGCAATATTCAAGCATTACCCCGCACCTTTCACTCCATTCGTACACCAACAGTGCGATTGTTCGGAAGAAAGTTACGCGTGAATGCTGCCTAACGGTTTTTAATTTTATTTCTTATACTCTGCTGCTTCACCTATATTATGAAGTTTTAGCTTCTAATAATGGTACTACAAAAATATGCCGCTTTCATTGCTAGCACTTCATATACTTCAAGCAAAAACAATGACTTCGTGGTATATATAGGTTTGTGTGCTTGTATTCCAAGAATAGCACAAAGTTAAATTAAATGAAAACTTTTTCAATTACATCAACCGGAATGAAATCGTACGCGGCGAATAAGTCAAAAAAGTCAACTCGCGGTGTGAATGCGCATCGAGTAAGCGGGCTGAGAAAGAAAGCAAGGGAAGGAAAAAAGGTAGCGCGTCGATTGTTTGTGTGTACAAAAATGTGTGAGTGGCTGTGGAACGTGCAACACGGAGAAGCCTAGAGGTGCAACTGTACAGGACCAAAGTTAAGGCAAAAAAAAATATAAAAATAAACAAAGCAGAAATCACTTGTTTTCTTTAAAAAAAAAAAACAAAAAACTGAAAATCATTCTTTTGTTATCACCCGAAGAATTCAGCACTTCGAGAAAAATCTTTATTGTCTTTCTTTTTTCGCATGAATAGGGTGATCAGGTTTAAGAATTCTTTTTTACTCCTTTATTTTTTATATTTTCTATTTCATTAATTTTCCATTCAGCATTTGTCTAAACTTTGTTGGCCTGTGGCTACGAAAAAGGTTAAAAAGAAGTTTTAACTGTTATATTAGGTCATAACCTGAAGATAGAGAATCCATTTATCTAGGGCACCAGCGAAAGTTTTTAGAGAATTTGATTTTGTTCTTAGAAGTAAAATTTTAGTGTGATAATCGGTATTCATATTTTTTTAATTAATATAATATTCTAAATGATCCTAAGCTATTCAGATACCATAGATTCTGTGAAAAACTTATTTATGCGGTTATTTGGCCAACCGCGCAGTACTGAACATGCTGGGCTTTCTTTTTTTTGAGATCCGTCCAATTATTTGCTGTGTTTTTAAGAGTCACGCCACCAACGTTCGTCAAGTTATACGTTCTTTTTTTGTTTAATTTTGTTTTTTCGAAACCAAAAAAATGGTTAACCGTTGAACCGATTTTCAGCCGAGCGCCTCCTCTAACTTCGAAGCCGCCTCTGAAGCTGTCAATTCCATGTCAGAAATGCACTTGAAAGTTCATGCAAAGGGGCAATCACAAATCGAGAAATTAGTTTCAAATTGAAAAGTTCTTCATAATTTTATTTACTTTTTGACACCAAAAAAAGGTAACACTTCTTAGAAAAACCTTTTAGTCATTAAAATTTTGAGAATTTCTTTCAAATTGGTTACCCAGTTTCCTTTCATTTTCAACATAAAATATATGCAATAAATGTCAACAAAGCGCAAGAAGTATGAATATTTTGCTCACTGAGAAAAATCTTTCTGATTTCACGTCCAACCTACGAACAACAGCGCCGAAATACCAACGAACGTGAGGAACAGGTAAAAGATAAATAAAAATATATTGAAAAAATATGTCGTTTAATTTAACGCTTGATTGAACGCAAAGAAGCGCCGCCAAAAAGAGAGGATATGACTGAAAGAGATGCACAAAATCGATTAAAACGATAAGTGCATTAATGTCGGAATGTAATCGATGTACGTAGCGAAGGGGATGAGTGATGAGAGGGATAATATAAATTTTACACCTCATTTATGTAGAGAGAGTGTCAGTGAATAAGAATAAGAAAAAAAATTATTGAAAAATGCGAAAACGAGTCAACAGGGTGCGCCCAGACATCGCTCGTAACTGGAGCCATGAACACGATACCGCCCCTATCTTGTCTCAGTATTTGGCCTCTTAAGGCATCGCTGTGTAGCAACAACCGCCTTATTCACCCGATATGTCCCCCTGTAACTTTTTTGCTCACTAAAATAAAATCGGGGGTCAAAGGAATTCATTTTGAGTCGTTTGAGTACATCCAAGCAGCCGTGATGAGGGTACTCGTGGAGGCATAGAAAACGCGCTGGAATCGTTGTATATCTGCCCAAGGGGAATACTTTGAGTTGCAGAGTTGTAGAATAATTTTGAAGTATACGGTCTTTATGGAATCAGTTTCATTACTTAATTGACACACCTCGTAGAAAAAAAGTTTCTGAGGGCGTGCTCGACAGATTTAATTCTGATACCACATTCGTGAAAACATTTTGTTTTTGGTAAAATATTTAATGAGTTTTACATGCGAACCAGTCAGCAAGATTTGGAACGGCGCCTTCCGACGCCTTCTTGCGTACGAACCCGAAAGGCACTACGTCAAAGTCGATCACCAACTTGAGTTTGTTCAGGCTGTTTCTTCAACTCCCGATAGCTGAGATACTCGGAGAAGCAGAAGGAGTCTTCTCAATGACTTAAGTGTGCCATCTTGAGGTTGGGTCCTCAACTTCTCGCATTTAACAAAACAGACACAAAGACAAAGAACAAAAGCTTTTTGCTTTAATAAAGTTCCATTCGACTGTTTTTCGTTTTCACAATAACTCTTAGAATTAATGTTGGGCTCGGATCAACTTCCTACACTTTTCTGACGTTTTCCGTTTTTCTTTTTGAAATGCGAAATTGTGTTGTGGAATATATTTAGTAGTAGCAGCCACAACACTTATTTCCTGTATTTTCTGTGACTTGCAAGAATATGATGAGAATAAGAAAGAGATACAAATAACACTGAAGATTTTGTTTCCTCGGTAAATGTCAAGATTTGATAGCATTTTATGCCTGCTCTGAAATAAATCGTCTTCTTCTCTGTCCATGCGCTTTAGTGGGCGGCCAACCCGAATTCAAGCATAATTACACACCTCAAATGAGATGCACTAAATTAATGCAATTATCTGAGACTATCGACTGTGCATCAATGTTCGTATGTAATTTATATATATGTACATGTGTATGTATGTATAAGCATGACCAATTGCATATTTGAATTTGATATTTCCTTACTGTATCTTCGCATAGCCGCAGCTACTCTACAATGCCACCGAATCGTCCATTTTAACCGCATTACAACCACTTACACCCCCACTTCCACCGCTTCTGCTGTGTTTTGCATTTGCCGCTGCACAGGCGTTCCCTAAGGCGCCGCGTCGTCAAATATCAGAGCCTTCATGCGAATCGCCCACGTAACCTTCGTCCGGACTGTCGGCTAGTGGCCCGTTTAAATGCCGCAGTTTCGAGGATTCTTCGGTTGCAGACGCTGCTGCTGTTGCTGTTGTTGCCGTTGTGTTGCTGGCAGACATTGTAACTGTGGTTGCGCTGCTGCTGCTACTACTGCTGCCGCCATCATTGCTACTACTCGCAGCGGTGGACGTGGTGGGCGAGACGTCATTCTCATCGCATTCGGGAATGGTGGAGGAGTCTGCTTGTGCGGCGACGCAGCGTTTTATTGCTGAGCTAGATGTGGATGTGCCGCCGGTGCTGGTGCTTGCTGTTGCCGTTGTTGTTGTTGTTGCTATTGTGGGCACTTGTATTTGATTTGTTGGACCATTTGGTGTGAGTACAACCGTTGGAGTCGACTTATGTGGCATCATATGTTGCTGCTGCTGCTGTTGTTGTTGTTGCTGCATATGCCCCTGTGGACTTAATACGCCTACAATTGTTGGTGGATAGCGTATGGACTGCACATGATAGCCGGGCAAACAAGGCGGCCACTGTTGAAATTTCGCAGTTGAAATTGTTGATGCGCCACCAGCGCCGGCAACACCACCGCCGCCACTTGCGCTGCTTTCTTGCATGCTAGGCGCAGGGCTTTGGCTGCTCTTGTAACCCTCTGGTGGAGATGGGTATTGCACTATGTGCGGCTGCTGGGTCTGCGGGTAGCCCTCGGCGGTGAAGCGCACATTGGGCAAGTACTTTTCGTACGTTGGCGTGCCGGATCGCTGCAAAAACTCAGCCTCTAAGCTATAGCGCATGCCAGAGTTTGCGGCGGAGGCGGCAAATTGCTGCTGTTTATGCGCGCGATTGTGTGGCAAAGTGCGATAGTAGTTCTGCTGTTGTATGTGCTGCGACTGTGATGGATCGGCGCCCAGTGAGAGTTGTGGCTGTAGTTGCAGGTGATGATGTGAGGGTGGCGCTGGTGCCGGTTGCTGCATATGCGCGTTGCTATAGTCATATGCAAAGCCGTCTTGTCCTAGAAAACACACGGGGTTCAGATGCACATCCACTTGGTGTTGTGGCGCGGGTGCGGCGCTCATGCTATTCATTACGGTTTTAAGTTGCATACCGCGCGGCAGCGTTGTCATGGCGGCAAAGCGCGAAGCAGCCGCTGAGTTCATCTGCATATTCGTCGGTCGTATGATTTGCGAGCCATATTGTGGCGCCAGTTGATAGCAGTTGTCGAACTGCACCGGCGTCGTTGACATTCCTTGTATACTGCATGGACCCGAACAGTCGCTGGCGGCATCGTAGTCTATATCCAGTGATGCAGTGGCTTTGAGCTTGCCATGATTAACGCTCTCGGCATCATTAACCAAGTCGGGATTTTTCTCTTGGTAATTACGCACCGACGACGGTGGCGAACAGTAGCTGATGGCGTTGCCGACTAGTAGCGGTGGCGGTGTGCCGCTCGCGCCTGCCATGCTAACGCTCAACTGCAGTGCTTGACCGCCATCAGCGATCACAGCTGCCGATGTGGGTGTTTGCTGTTGGTAGTGCGCGGGCGCGTACAGCAATAAATTCTGTTTCATTTGTCCGCCCATAATGACGCTGCCATTTTCTTTACACAATTTAGTGGGAGTCATGCCTTCGGCCATCAACAGCCCAGCTCCACCATTCAGCGAGTCACCATCATTGAGTATTGACGAACATTTCATTAAGCCCGTCTCGTTGCCGCCGTTATCTGAGGCATGTGCACCACCACCTCCGATATTTGTAACTGAGCCACCGCCACCGCACTTCTTACGCTTATTCGGCTGGCGCTGTTTGCACTTTATAACTATGGTGCAGAGCATTACCACGAATATGACACCGGCGCCGGTGCTACTGGCAATGATATAGTTCATGTAGTCGCGTGGAAAAGAGACCTCGTTTACCACTGGTGGTTCCTTGATAATGACGCGCAGTGTGTAGTTGCTGAATGTAATGCCGGCGACGTTCTTCCCCACACATGAGAAGGTGCCGTTATCTTCGGCGCCCACATTGTAAATAAATATCTCGCTGCGCTTCTCCTCCGCGCTGCCAGTCTCATCGATGTAATAGTACATATGCAGATTATCAATGAGGCTATCGTTGGTCATCACCTGACCGTTGAAGAGCCACAGCACTTGCGGCTCAGGTATGGCGCGTACCACACACACAATTGATACATTGCGACCTTCGGAGATCTCCGTGTATGTTGAAGAGGGAGTCACCTCAGGAAGGCAAGCGAGTTCTTCCTTTTTCAACGACTTGATCGTTTGTCCCTTTAGCCGTGGCGGCTCCACACACTTGGGCTCCTCAACTTGTGGCGTTACATAGTTATTGAGCCACGAATGCATGTCCAACAGCCTGCAGTCGCACATCCAGCGATTACTCTGCAAGCTAATGCCATGCAATGATTTCGGCAGTATGTGCTGGCCCTGTATGAAACCGATGCGATTCCCATCCAAACGCAACCACTCCAGATTGTCCATGCCAATGAAGGCCTCATTCTCAATACGCTCAATTTGACAGTGGCTTAATTCGAGTGTCGTGAGAAAGGAGAGATGTCGAAACGCCGACGTCTTCAGCTCGCGTATCGGATTGCCGCTTAGAGATAGCCGCATTAGCGAGCTGTAGTCCTGAAATGTTTCGGTGGGTACATTTTGCAATGAATTATCTGACAAATCCAATTCGACGAGATTTGTCAGGCCACGAAAGGCCTTCTCGTGTATGCGTATCAGTTGGTTGCGTGATAAGTAAATTTTTTGTAAATTCAGCAGATCCATGCGCAGGAAACGCTCACTTTGCAAGACTTGCAGGCTGTTGCCTGAGAAGTTGAGTACCTGTGTGCCGGGATCCATACCTTCGGGTATGTTAGGCAACTGATTACCACCACACTCCACCGTCTGCTTGCCACCTTTCCACTTGCAGGTGCAAACTGTGGCTGGGCAGGTGAGCGCTAAGCGGCAAGAGACCAGCACGATGAGTGTGAGTGGCAGTAAAAGGCGTTCGAATGAATGTTGTTGTTGACGCATTGTGTATATGTAGTTTGTAAATAGATATATGATGCTAACTGTAAGGCAGGTGCATTTATGGATATAGTTAACAGCAAGCGCCTTAAAGTATGCCGTTTTTTATGAGTTCGACAGCGTCAGCAGCGTTGCGTGTCCAAAACCATGCTCTTTAAGCGTCCCGTGTGGAGTAGGCGACGACAATGTGACGCTTTTATACGTGCACCAGAAAGTATGCTTTGATATTCACTTTTGTATATATTTATTTTTAAGTATTTTTATTGCATACTTTTCAGCGTTAGTTTATTGTAGCTTTCAATTAGCGCTTTAGTCTTTTATATTATAAAATTTTCATCAAGTTTATGCAAAGTTTTCTTTAAATTGTTGGTATTTCTTATTTACAATGCCACCATCTTAAAGTCTTGTTCGTAATTTTTGTCACGTGCGCACTTTATATTTTATTTAATGGCAGCTGTACTAAAATATGCGCCTCGCTTTAGCAGTCTGCGTGCCTTGAGTATATTAAATGTGTCAAATTATTAATCATGAGCGCCATTATTTTCGTACTCAACATTGTTTAGCTGTCTTCGTTCATGCCACCACAGGCTGTGACATCTATTCAGTGCCTTCAGGTCTAATATCATTTATGTCATTTATGCTGATACATCAGTTTAGGCTTGTCTCATGTCCGAAAATTAAGTTGATAATCAAAATCTGGCATTCTTGCTGTCCGGCAATCGCTAGTGACCGCCCCACAGCTCGTTTATGCTCAATATCTTTCACAGAGATTTTTTTATTTATTTTATTTTTGCTCTTATTCTTTAATGTTCTTTACTTTCTTTAGCGACACTTTAGCATTTAAATTGATTCATTTCACAATGGCAGGGCACAACCAAATGACAAGGGGTCCTTAGAGTCGTTGGTTATGTGTGCCAGGCTGTTCGGATGTTCTGCTGCTGTGCTTAAGAGACTTACGCTTTACTAAAACCGAAGCTCAGTGCCCACAGCAGCCACGCTCAACTTGATTTGTCCAGCCTTTTGTGTTAATTTCTTTTGCTGTCAGCAAAAAACCGACACACGACACATTTTTACATAATTCTGTCTTCTTCTTGTTTTTTTGTTTTTTTTTTTTTTGCTTTGGCTGTCGCTTTTTGTTGTTGCACTTGTTAAATGCTTTATTTTCGCTCCATTGTGAGCACTCAACTTTATTTATGCCACTTTATTTTTGCGCCTTTCTCATTCACTGTCACTGTCAGCAGCAGCCGCAGAGTCAGAGGCATCAGTAACCGTTAAGGCATTGGCAACATAGGCACACCGCTATTTAAGCACAACAATTGATTGTGTGGGAGCGTGCTTTTTGTTACTGTTGTTATTATTGTAGCCGCCTGAAACTTGCTACAGCATATTATTTTGTTGCCGCTGTTGTTACTGTTGTTGTTATTGCCATTGTGGGTGCTGATTTGAATGTCTTGCTTTCAAGTGCTTTGCTTCCGGCTTTTCCCCACACACACACACACTCAACGCAAGGGAGTAGTTATGGTGTTGACTAAGTACTTTTTTTGTTGTTTGTGCTTGCTGTCGCTGGCAACAATGTTTCATTCACTTTTAATTTTTTCTTTTTTCAAAACTAGTTGTTTTATATTTACTGCACTACTACAAACAATCAACGCTGCTCGCCTGCGGCTTCAGTTGGCTTTGTGGCTGCTGTCCGCTTTGTTGCTTCGTTTATTCCTTCCTACTGGTAGTGACTGCTTTACACTCTTCAACGCTTCTATGCGCACCAGAAAAGCATATACTGCTGGCGTTCGATTCTCTGTATATCCACAAATAGCATGTAAGCTCTTCGCTGCTCTTTCACTCAGCACTTTTCAAACGTTTGTAGTGGCTTTTTAGCTTCTTCTTTTCAAAATCAATGCAAAATGCATTTGCTGCCTTTGGGTGGCGATTTGCTAATGTTAACGACTGCAATGAAAAAGATGAGAAGCGAAAGTGAAAGGAATTAATTAGTTTTGTTGCCTGAGGTGAAAGGTGTAATAGATTGCATTATTTCATATAAGCATATTTGTTCGCCATAAAGAGGGTAAATAATTATGCAACTGATTAAGTAATTGTTTGCCCTAAGTTGAGGTGTAATACACCTGGGCGTATACGTGACAAAAAGCGCCAAAGGTAGAAAATTATTTTACTAATTATCCATTTTGTCTTAAAGCGTTATTCATTAAATGCCTTTATTACAAATTTTTTAAACATTACTAAAAATATATTTTAGAAAAACTAATATTAATGTTCTTATAGTTTTTCCGTTTTTCAGCACTGATTGACAGCTGTCAAACCTGACATGGTAGCTTCTTCCCTTATATTAAATTTTCTAAAACGATTCGGATGTATAATTTTATTTATCCACATCAATATGCTTCTTTTTCCGCTATCGCAAATAAACGCTACCAATAATAAATTATATAATCAAATAAATACAATTATACTAAGTTAACGAATATAAAAAAATTAATACAGGCATAGTACTCAAATTGATTTACTGTAAAATTTATAGTTCAATAAACAAATAACCAATAAATAACTAGAGAATTAATATTTAATCGAAAAATAAATACAAACAAAATAACAAAAAACAATTTATTAATAAGTGAATTTGTTACTTAACTACACACATATTTATGCTATGATAGATAAAAATAAAACTAAATAATAAATTGAAAAACATGGCAATCTAATTAAAAATATATAAATAAATAAATTTATGAAAATATTAAATAGTAATTAAAATGTGAGAGCCAAATAAACAGTGCAGTAAATAAATAAAGAGTTAAAAGAATTAAATAAATGCAAATAATGGTCATAAAAATATTATATATTATAAAAGTAAGTAAGAAAAATAAAAAAAAATTTAAATTAAAATATCAAGACTAAAGCAAACAAATAAATAAAATAAGATTTGATAAATAATAAACAGAAAACTTATTTAATTTGCTTAAATAATGCATAAAAAATTAATAAACAATTTAAATAACCACAAGAAAGAAGAAGAGCTATCTTTGGGAAGTCCTTGTATAATTCATGACCAAATCAAAATTATAGTATTTCATATTTTGATGAAATATTCATTGTCATGTCAAAAAAAATCAGTTGTATGATGTAATATAATATAATCCACTGATTCAAATTATTTTTGGTGGCATGTTTTATTTGTGCATACGAATGTTTATTACAAAATGCATTTTTTTTGAAGTTTGGAACAAAGCATCATTTCTACAGAAAGCATTGTTTGTTAGTTGCACGTTATAGTGGTCCAATCTCAATAGTTCTCAGGCGCAACAATTTTTATATTTTATCTGTGTTGAATTTCAAATTTTACGCTCTTTTCTAACATATTTATGACCCAAAGCCTTAAATCTTAAAAATCGATGGAATATATTATATGTTGGTGCAACAATTAGGCTGAAAATCTGAAGCACACAGGGGTTAGTTTGCATACAAACAGATGGACAGATGGGCAGATTTTGGTTTAAGTTGTTATAGACATCTCCGTTCATTTGCCGGTACTCAACTAACGCGGACCAAAGTTAATAAAGCATTTTGATTTTTGAAGTATATAAAAACCATCAATAGAAAATGAGAGAGAATAACAATGTTTGTAGGTTTAAGAAAGAGAAATTTTAGTTAGGCATGCCAGCAGATGCTTTGGAGTCCTTTCGCCTCTCCTTTGAGGAATGTTATGTCTGGCGGATATCTAAAAATGAGTCTAACTGTACTGAATTAGTCATTAGCTTAAAAAAGAGTTAGAACTAGAAGATATGTAATTAAAAAGTTGGCAACTTTGCTGCACTCAGGAAAGAAGTTACTTATAATTGTGCCTTCCAAATATGCCGGACTCATTCTGGGCAGTTTATCAAACTGATCGCAAAACTCACAGAACTTTATATCTAAAAAACCACATTTAACCAAAAATACTGTCACTTAGCACATTAGTTATGAGAATTATATTTTTGTTGAGTGGCAGTGCTTTAATCGTATAATCATAAAAAAAAACTCTTACATAAATATTAATGAGGTTGCTAAGGACAGTACACTTACGTCTGAGCACTGCAAAATGTGTCTATGGCGACACTGATTTCCTTCGTGGTCAAACTAACCTTTGAAGATATGGCATAGTAGGGTGTTAGCACAAACAATTCAATTATTTTTATAAGGATAGTTGGAAACTAGCCATAGATAAGTCTCTCGATTTTAGATACGACAAGTTAACTTTATGATTTTTGTTTATCCAAAGAGCTCAGGAATATGTACAACGAACACAGAAATTATTAAAAGCAATAGCAACCTAAGCAGCCTTCTTTCAACACAGTGGGAACTTCTTTTCCACTCTCACCATCATAGAGGAGTTTAGGTACGTTACTCTTCATCTGAAAGTTTGCCATAAGAAGTAATTCATCGTAGATGAATGTCTAACATGAAAGCGCATCAATTGTTGTAATCAGACCAGAAGAATGTGGTCAGCATGGGATAAGGTAGGTCGCGAAATTGAAACTCAAAAATGAAAGAATTGAGTTGCATTATTGGTTGTTGTGTTGAGCAGAAGTTATAGAAAGAAAGAAAGAAATAAAGCAAGAAAATATTTAAGGTAATTCTCACCCTAAGTCATTTTGAGTTAAAGAAGATTTAACAGATTTAATGATTTTATCCATATAAATAAAAATATTACTATTTTTTCCAAACCAAATAATCAGTAATTTTTAGGAAATAGCAAATTCAAATCTGCGAAAGCCACAAATCAACAATTGCTATAACGATTTAACATTTAAAATTTATTAGGCTACACGCCATTAAAGCAAATGCCCAGCAATGCCCACAAATAATGTTTCCTTGCAGCCGGCATATGTTTCGAGTAAAATTTAGAGCTATTAAAATTAATGAAGTTAGCCTTTAGGAAGCAGGAATAAACCTAAACAACATAATATAATATACATATTTGATAATCCAACAACAAACACAAACGGAAAAACACGCGCACAAGCCAGCAAGGCAGACAAACACGTGGTAAGTAAATTAAACTTGGTTTTATCCACTTTAATGTGCTTGCCACCTTTTCTTACACCTTTTGTGTGCCAAGTACAAATAGGCCAACAACCAGCCGAGCAGCCAGTTAAGGCACCTGCCTCAAGTACTAGCATTAGCAAAAACAAAACAAATACAGAAACAATAACAATCTACACAAATGACAGTAAGCAGATGGTAGAAGTAGAAGAACGACAACAGTCTTCGCAATAACAAAGTCAACAATAAATCATGTAACATATTGTAGGAAAGATACTTAAAGGCATAAAATATAAATTACGCAAAATTAAGCTGAATGCATATGGAAACAAAAACAAATATTTATGTATATACAAGTATATGCCCGGAGCAAACAACAACAGCCTTTAACTGTTTCTAAAATATGAGAAAGCTCTGCTTACTCCAAAGCAATGAAAGGGTGAAATGTATGCGTGTGTGTGTGTGTGTTTGTGCGCCAAACACAGTCAAGGCAGGCATTGCCAAGAGCATACATATTTTAAAATGCCAGCTATATAACTCACTGTTAAGTAGACAATCGGTGCTGTTAGACAATAAAAGAAAAATCTACTCCACTCCAGCATTCATCGACAACAGCGCACTATCGTGTGTAGCAAGAGGCTTTGCTTGTATATATTTCTCCTTTTATTGTTGTGTATAAAATCACAACGCCAGTCGACAGGAAGAGGTAATAAAGAACAATAACCCAAAGTTGAGATAGGCGCTCACGAGTGCTAATATATCTACATATATGTGGGTAGGAGGGTATATATGCGAGCATAGACGTGTTAAATAACAATAGTGCTAGTAAGGCAAAATGAAAATAATTGTTGTTACAGTAAATAGCCAATTTTTTATTTACTTTTATTTACATTTGCACATATACACATATACGTATATGTATATGTATTTTTTTTATATTTTCTGTGCTGTTGTTTTGTAAGCTATGAAAAGCTGTAAGCCAGTTTTGCTATCCACTATTTCGAATACAAGACAAAAAGTGTTACCAGCCACCTACATATATAAAATGTATATGTATATATCTGTTACTGTAGTATATACATACATACGTATTTTGTTTCCATTTTTTTCTATATATACCTCTATAAGAAAATACTGGGTATTGTAAGTAATAAATTTACACTTAAATGAATAGAGTATTTAAATCAAAAAACCATCAGTCATACGGCGGCGGCTTACTTTTTTTGGGCCTACTTCAAGACAATTTTGATATTTAAGAATTTTTTCAAGAAAACAGATCATGAGGTAAGTTCATTTCCTTCTTAAAAAAAAAAAAATACCAATCGACTGAGGAGAAGATCGGAGAACAGAAAAAAAGGTTGAAAACACCCTCCGGTGCTAAAAGCGTCAAATAAATTAATTTGAAAAGTATTTATGCGACGATTTTTCGATAAAGAACTTTCAAAACTTATGAGTTTATATAGGTCTTGAAGATCAGAAAAAAAGCTTAATTTTTAAATTTTTTTAAAAGATAATAAATCAAGTATACAATTTTTTTAATTACAAATAAAAGTACAAAATGTGGACAACATTTGATGAAGACTTGAATGAAAAATAGTATAAGTTACAGCATTGGAAGTGTCGTGAAGTAGACCGTCCACAAGAAAATGCATGCGCGGTAGTCATGAAAAAAATGGATTTTTTTTGGAGCATTTTTTTTAAGAAAAAAGTCATTTTTTGCATAAAATAATGCCACAAATTGGCTTGCAAAATCAAAGGACTTATATTATATCCTTAGTTCAGGGACTACAAAAACATGCTTACAAGAACTGTGGGAAATTTCAACTCGATCGCTTCAATAGTAGTTTGACTACCAATTTCGATAAAGTGGTTTTAAGAAAAACGCCTTGACAAAGACGGCGGGTTATAAA